TCCTCGGGCGGTTGTTTTCTATATTTAAAACTTTTTGATCCTCATTTTTGAAAACCTTTTTCTTTATATTTCTTCTTCACCTAATTCATCTATTATAATCTTTTTAAATACTTGTACATGTCGTTCCGAAGGTATTCTCTCGATCTTAACTTTAACACGGTCCTCTTCATCTAATGAAGATTGTTTATCTTGAGCTACATCAGAAAGATCAATTATTACAGTAGCTTCTTCCCAATCTTGTTTAAATAGATTTTCTAGGTCTTTATATTTTTTAATTGTTGATCGAGTAAAACCTGTTTTCCACTTTCTAACCATCCTCGATTGAATTGTTGATGTAAGGGTCAATTTTTTATTATGTAATATTTTCAATTCTATTAAATAAATATAAAAAAAAGAATTAAAAAAGTATTAAAAAAGTATAACAAAAGTATAAACAAAATATAAAAAAGTATTAAAAATTACCTTCAACTTGAGAAGCAAAATCACGAATATTAGATATATCCATTCTCAAAGACAATTGAGCTTCTTCAACAGAATTAGGAACATTTATTTCATTGTTATCAAGGTCAAAATCATCATCCCAACTTTCGCTAGGAGCAGCTGGAAATGGATAGTACAGGTTAGTAATAATGTATAACACATGAAATAGTCGCATTACAAGTAAGATTATACATACATCGATGATTTCCTTTAATAAGAACAGAAGGTATAGATTCACGACTGCGTTGTAACATTTTTAAAGATTTTGATCGAGAAGAATCACAAATACTAACAATATTGATATCCCAATCGTCATCATCCTCATCTTGTAAGGAATCAGAGTTTATTATGGAGGAACTACCATAATTTTGAGAAATTGGTGGCAAGCTTTCATGAGAAAATTGGATGGGGATTGATTTACGATCAAGTGTAGAGAGGGAGCGTACACTTGTAGTATCATCATCGACTAAATGGTTGATCATAGGGAATATGGAAGTTTGTGAATTGATAAATTTTATATCGGCCGAGTCTTTAATTTTTTTATTTTTTAAGCCAAATAAATTAAAACGCTTGAGTTGATTTCTAGGCGAAGTTAAAAATTTTTTCGGATGCAATAACATTCGTGAAAGATTTTTTGGTTTTTCAGAACGACCAAAAACATCACCCAAGGAAGGGGTAGGTGAAATCGGATTTGAAGAAGATGCTTGCTGTTTTTAATAAAAGTTCGAATATAGACAAAAAAAAAAAATTTAAATGGTCAGTAATTGATAAAAAAAGTAAGAGATTGTGAAATTGGTATCATATGTGCATGCAGTAAATAGGTTTGCCCCTAGTTAACAAGGTTGACTTCCACTAAAATCTTATCATAAACTCACCGAGCTGGAACCTTGTGACGACATGATAAAAAATACAGTCAACTCTTTATATAACGAACTAACAGTTTGACATACAAAAAGTTCCTTATAGAATAATAATAATTGTCTATATAGAACTCTATAAATTTTTTTCTATTTTTTTTTTTTTTTTTTCTAAGTCCGTTATAAAGAGAGTTGACTGTACATATGTTAAATCAAGCCGACAACCGATAAAAAATAAAAAGAAAATAAAAAAAAAAGACGCGTTTGAAAAATAAATTTCATGACAGATAAACGTTTATATAGAGAATTAATTATATAAAGAATATGAAGAACAAAGAAGAAAAATTCATACAAAGAAATAAAAATGTAGATGAAAAGAATTCAAGATCTGAAGATGATTTTCTTAAAAAGTGTCTAATATTCATGTCAATTAAAGATAGGAAAATCAAATTGTTTTTGATATAGCGGACATGTGTACAGTACGTCAGGGAAAAATTCGAGGCTTATACATAAATTCCTTTCTTAATGTATTTTAATGTGTAAATTCACTTACGTATATGCCCCCAACGTATGATAAATAAAGAAAGATGATATACGAAATTTGAATTCTTACCGTGATAGACGAAAATGTTAATACGGACGGTTTATTTTTACTTTTTGTTCATCCAGACATAAAATGAAATGAGTCATCAAAACATCACATTAGTTAGTATAGATGTAAAGTATGTATTGATTATTAAGATTCTTGTAGTGATATCATAAAATTACTTGATAATTCACTTGATGATTAAAGATTACATGAAACAAAACGATGAATCTGGTTTTACTCAATCAATTACCTATAAATATTATCATAAATTAATAAAAAATATAACATAGCACAATATACAGTAATATTTATAGTAATGATGAAAGAGGAGCACATAATTTTGGTAAAGATAATAATAGCATGAATACATAATTTACAGGAAAAAAAAAGAAGCTTGATTTTTCGGGCATTTTGTTTTATACATATATGTAAAAAAATAAATAACTATTAATTGTAGGAATGTAGAAATGTAGAAATGTTCATTCACACATGCCCGCCAAAGAGGTAACGTTGAAATAAGAATATGCAAAAAAAAATCATAATAATATATCTAAAAATTTACAGGGAGATGTGTATGTATAAACATTTGGTTTCATTATTACAATCATTTACCTCTTTTTTTCTCCTTTTTTTTTCTTTTTTTTTTTTCATAACCCAATTGTCTATAATCGAGAATTCGAAATTCTCATCTTTGTTGTCCGTAATCAGAGAATGGATTCGAATTCTCATATTGCTATAAATTTTCTTTTTTTTCTTTGATCAATCAGATACCAAAGTTTTTAATTCATTCAAGTGCTCCGATAATCTATTTCTTAACTTTTTCAGATGATCGATTAAACTTGGCATTATTTCAATACTAATTCTAAAATTCTCTTTACATTTTGTACATCCCTTATTACATCCACCATTGCTACTGCTCTCACCATTTGCCAATTTTTGTTTTTTGGAACTATGAGTGATACCAGCACTACTACTAGATGAGTCAGAGCAATTACTGTCATAATAATTATTTTCTTTATCATCATCCACGAATATTACGTTACGGGCATCTTCACCTAATTCATCTATTATAATCTTTTTAAATACTTGTACATGTCGTTCCGAAGGTATTCTCTCGATCTTAACTTTAACACGGTCCTCTTCATCTAATGAAGATTGTTTATCTTGAGCTACATCAGAAAGATCAATTATTACAGTAGCTTCTTCCCAATCTTGTTTAAATAGATTTTCTAGGTCTTTATATTTTTTAATTGTTGATCGAGTAAAACCTGTTTTCCACTTTCTAACCATCCTCGATTGAATTGTTGATGTAAGGGTCAATTTTTTATTATGTAATATTTTCAATTCTATTAAATAAATATAAAAAAAAGAATTAAAAAAGTATTAAAAAAGTATAACAAAAGTATAAACAAAATATAAAAAAGTATTAAAAATTACCTTCAACTTGAGAAGCAAAATCACGAATATTAGATATATCCATTCTCAAAGACAATTGAGCTTCTTCAACAGAATTAGGAACATTTATTTCATTGTTATCAAGGTCAAAATCATCATCCCAACTTTCGCTAGGAGCAGCTGGAAATGGATAGTACAGGTTAGTAATAATGTATAACACATGAAATAGTCGCATTACAAGTAAGATTATACATACATCGATGATTTCCTTTAATAAGAACAGAAGGTATAGATTCACGACTGCGTTGTAACATTTTTAAAGATTTTGATCGAGAAGAATCACAAATACTAACAATATTGATATCCCAATCGTCATCATCCTCATCTTGTAAGGAATCAGAGTTTATTATGGAGGAACTACCATAATTTTGAGAAATTGGTGGCAAGCTTTCATGAGAAAATTGGATGGGGATTGATTTACGATCAAGTGTAGAGAGGGAGCGTACACTTGTAGTATCATCATCGACTAAATGGTTGATCATAGGGAATATGGAAGTTTGTGAATTGATAAATTTTATATCGGCCGAGTCTTTAATTTTTTTATTTTTTAAGCCAAATAAATTAAAACGCTTGAGTTGATTTCTAGGCGAAGTTAAAAATTTTTTCGGATGCAATAACATTCGTGAAAGATTTTTTGGTTTTTCAGAACGACCAAAAACATCACCCAAGGAAGGGGTAGGTGAAATCGGATTTGAAGAAGATGCTTGCTGTTTTTAATAAAAGTTCGAATATAGACAAAAAAAAAAAATTTAAATGGTCAGTAATTGATAAAAAAAGTAAGAGATTGTGAAATTGGTATCATATGTGCATGCAGTAAATAGGTTTGCCCCTAGTTAACAAGGTTGACTTCCACTAAAATCTTATCATAAACTCACCGAGCTGGAACCTTGTGACGACATGATAAAAAATACAGTCAACTCTTTATATAACGAACTAACAGTTTGACATACAAAAAGTTCCTTATAGAATAATAATAATTGTCTATATAGAACTCTATAAATTTTTTTCTATTTTTTTTTTTTTTTTTTCTAAGTCCGTTATAAAGAGAGTTGACTGTACATATGTTAAATCAAGCCGACAACCGATAAAAAATAAAAAGAAAATAAAAAAAAAAGACGCGTTTGAAAAATAAATTTCATGACAGATAAACGTTTATATAGAGAATTAATTATATAAAGAATATGAAGAACAAAGAAGAAAAATTCATACAAAGAAATAAAAATGTAGATGAAAAGAATTCAAGATCTGAAGATGATTTTCTTAAAAAGTGTCTAATATTCATGTCAATTAAAGATAGGAAAATCAAATTGTTTTTGATATAGCGGACATGTGTACAGTACGTCAGGGAAAAATTCGAGGCTTATACATAAATTCCTTTCTTAATGTATTTTAATGTGTAAATTCACTTACGTATATGCCCCCAACGTATGATAAATAAAGAAAGATGATATACGAAATTTGAATTCTTACCGTGATAGACGAAAATGTTAATACGGACGGTTTATTTTTACTTTTTGTTCATCCAGACATAAAAGGAAAGATTCGGTTAAAGATTATAACAAGAGAAAATGTAACTAGAAAGATGAAATACTGCCAAAGAATATATCGAAATAGAGTAAAGAAGAAATATAAAGAAAAAGGTTTTCAAAAATGAGGATCAAAAAGTTTTAAATATAGAAAACAACCGCCCGAGGA